TGGATTTCTGTTCTGTAATGGAAGACAAAGTGACTGTTGGCAAACAAACCCTTCCTAAGGTATGATTTCACTCTATCCCCTTCCTTCCCTCTAGTCATTGTCAAGTCAAGGTAATGGTGTAATGATCAAACTTTTAATGAAATCATAAAGGTAATCATCACACCAAGCTCATGACAGTATAGAGTTTATGACTGTACAGAGTCATGGCCAAGAAGCTCTGCCTGTGTAAATGTCATGCTCACGACCGAGGTGCTGGTCGCGTCAGAGGCCATCATCACACAGAGGTCAAGCCCATACGAGGGGCAATGCTCACGCAAGAGGTCATGTTAGCATAGGTGTCACGGCCGTGGAGAGGCCCACGTCGCCCAGAGGCCGAGGAGGCCGGGACATGGCAGCCTCTGGACGCCCGGAGCCTCTCGCCTCGGCCCGAGCACAGCCATTGATCAGGATCGAGAGTGAAAGGCGGACTCACTACTCACTCTATGAGACTCATGAGGTCACGGGCCTTCAGATACGAGAATATGAGCAGGAGGACATCATCTGACAGGTCGAGGATGGACGCTCGGGCGAAGAGAGCCATAGTGACCTGCCTGGAGGAGCTACAGCAGAAGGAGGTTTTGGTTTTCACAGAAACAATCACAAAGCATCACCCACGGCTGCGTTCGAGTCCCTGCCCCCAGTCAACGCGAGGCGGCTTTGAAGGGCTTGTCCCGATCAGATTATTTGCATTTTTTAAACAAATATTAAATATTCGTATTCGTCTTATCTCTGACCATCTCTATTTCTTAACGTCTGGCTAAATAGGCAAATATCTCTTTCTCGCCACAGTCGCTAAATGAGAAACGAACGATAATTTTGGGGTAAACTTGTATACGTTCGAGTTTACTAAATCACCATAAGGGATATTTCAGCGCAATAATTGGACTTTGTTACTGATTAATATTATTATGCTGCGTAAATAAAGAGTTTTAGTGTTATATATCCGACACCAAACAAATAATTATATATTTCGATGGCAAATGAATGAGCGAGGTGAGGGCGGTTGCCTCAAATGGAGATTTACACACAAACTATAATAAAATATTCATTACCAATGCAAATTAGGCACATGATAAAATAAAAATAAGAACAATAGATCATGCATAGCTAAGCCAATATTTTGACGGATTGGTCATCTGCATGCATCATAGCAATAGAGGAAAGTGAAGAAACTAAATCTAAAAATATCTATGAATACAAATGACCTTAAATTGACTTAAATTTAAGAGCAAAAAGTGGCCACGACGACAAGATCTAGAAGGCAATGTAAATATAGAAGTACGGAAAGTGAGTGAAATATTCGTTGGCCAATAAATGCAGGAGTGGCACTGTACAAGAGTACTAAGGGAACCATATTTCCCTCGATTAAGCAGTAATCACTCTGTAAGCTCTCAGACACACGCACACACACACATACACAATGTGCACGCACTCTTTGAACTCTTTCTAGTTTATCTATATCCTTTTTTAAGTGTGGACTCCATGCCACTGCAACATACTCTAGGCTATGTCTTATGAGGATTATATCCTTTTCAAAGTCTAAAGTCCCTATTGGTTTGGGTGTACACATTTCTTCCTACTTTATACCCTTCATACTCTGCTTGAGACCTATGTCATCTGAACCTTCTCCAGAGAAACTGTTAGTTTTCTCTCTTTTCTTGCATTTATCATTGAACCACTTTTGGTCTTTTCTTGCTTCAGTTTGGAATCTTGATACAATTTTTTCTACTCATTGTTATAGACTTAGAATATTACATATGAATGTTCTCTTCGTTCAGGAGGGCTTCCCAGTTTATGTTAAAGAAATCTTTAAAACTTCTATAATTACCTATCTTGTAATAGTACTTTTCTATTATTCCTTACTTACGATGAGTTATTCCTATAACAGACAGCATTTCAACTTAATTACTACATGGCCACTTTTTCCTCGAGGAGGGCAGTACTCTATATCCTTAATGTCATCTTTATGCTTTGTAAATATTAGGTCAAGTATAGACGGTCTATCTAGCCCTCTTATTCTAGTATGATCTGCTACATTCATTTAAAATTCAAAATTAATTTATGACTTCTAGTAATTTTGCATTTCACGAATGGTTGAGCTCTGTGATCGAAACTTTTTCGGTCAATTTTGCAGTTAAAAAGCCGTTACAAGAATTTCTTTTGCATTAGTTTCCGAAAGTTGTAGCACTTCTTCCAGGCTCTTTAACATTTCTTGATTAAGTTTTTGATAATTTTCTTGTGACCACACCGATGCATGAGGTGGCATGTACACTGTGGTTATTATCATATTTACTCCGTTTGTTTCTAATTCAATTGCTTTTGGTTGTACTATGGAATCTTGTTGAATCTCTATCTCCTTTATAATAATTCCTTTCCTTGTTAATATCGCTACCCCCTCCCCCTCCATTTCCATTTGCCCTATCTTTTCTCCAAATTGGTTTATTACTTTCAATAATCGCATCTAGTTCTAGTAACGTAGAACATATACCATCTATATTTGTATAAATTATTTCTATATTATCTTTCGGTATATGCAAGGCTAATGATTGCCTGTTTCCACATTTTGGTTCCGATAGTAAACTTGTTTTTACTTTGAAGTCTCTCACCCTAGAAATGAACGTTTTTTTCTTCTTCAGTCCTTTGTTCGTTTTTGCTTTTTTACCTCTTCCATTTTTTTCTACAGTTTTTCTCTGTCATCTTTTGTCTTATTTTCTTTTATCCAGATTTTCTTATGTGTATAGCCAGGGCTTTAGCTTTGTTTATTAAATCAGTTACCATTTGCTTATTCATGAACGACACTTTTATAAGGCGTTTTTTTTTCTTTTCGAATAATCCTATCCTCCTGTGAGCTATGATATTTTGCTCTGAGAATTCGGGATTTATAACCTTGAGAATATTGACAATCAATTTCTTGTCTTTGATGTATCGGTAGCCAAATTAGCGATATTCATTGCGTGTTGCTCAAGGTGTGACTTAAATTAATGTTTCTTTGCCGTCTGTGCAAGCTGTTTTTATTTCTTCCTTTGTGTTCATTTTCTATTTTTCCATTTTATTTACAGTTACTTTTACTTTAGATACATCGGCATATATAGCTGTCATCTTCTTTGCCTCTTACATTATTTGAGACTGGATTAACAGTTTGTACTTTGATTACTTTATCAACTTTTTCTTGCAGATTCTCTGCCTCGATTTGACTACTGTTGCCAATCTTGATTCTACGCCTTCCATCTTCTCCTTGAACTTTTTTTCTCTGAATGGCTGTGTTCCTGGGCAACTTATCCGCCAATTCCTTCAAATTTCCGTTTTTTTTCACGTATTTTCGAACATCCTGGTTTGAGTGGTTACCCATAAGATAAACACAAAAAAAATAGAGCTGTACTCACGGCAGTTGTCTCTATGAGCGAAAACATTTAACGTGCAATATTCGCGGTCACTTCTCGCCTCTCTCTCCTTCGCTCTCACTTCCCAGCTGACAAAGCCTCACTTTCTTTTTCAGTTGTTCACTTATTCGTTCACTTTATAAGCCAAATTATTATTTCAACATGAACCGTACATTTACAGAACTCATGGCTAGCACACAGACTACCCATTACCTGATCTTCGTATTTCACATGTAAGGGCTGTACTTCACTGGTGTAATGCACTGTAGGCCTACTCTCCGTGTGTGTGTGTAGGCCTACACACATATGTGTGTTTGTATGTGTGTATGTATTTATATACATTCATATACATATATATGTATATATATGTGTGTGTGTGTGTGCATGTATGTGTGCATATACATACATGCACACATATCTGATCGTAAATACATGAGTCACACATTATTTTCCTAGTCGCTTAAAGCTGCTTTTCTAGTGTCACGTTGTATCTCGACTTATTTCCGGAGGTTACTGATTTTGGGGTCCCTTCTTTGGGGCCTTTTCCTTTCCTAGGGTCCTGCTTTTTCTTTGGAGTCCTTTCTTTGGGGCCTTTTCTTTGGGGTCCTTCCTATGGGTCCTTTTTTTTGGGGCCTTTTCTTTGGGGTCCTTCCTATGGGTCCTTTCTTTGGGGGTCTTTTGGGGTCTTTTCTTTGGCCTCTAAAGGGCGCAGTCCACTTCGAAAGGAAGTTTGAGTCGTTCTGATCAGCACGACTTCCGATCATTTAAAAATCTGTTTGATTTATTGGAACGAGGCTTTAAATACCTTTACAAACTTATCGCTCGTAAAAAAACCATGATGTGTGTGTGTGTGTGTGTATATATATATATATATATATATATATATATATATATATATATATATATATATATATATATTAGATAGAATAAGGCATGCTAGTGTCGGAATTTCAAGTACGTTCAAGTAAGATCTTTTGAACATTGCCATTGCCGACGGGCATGGTATGTAGGTGAACGGGCGAGACAGGCAGTACTCGTAATTGTCTCAATGGTGACTCATTACAAGTGTAGCCATCTATGTCTAAAAACAATTAAACAAGTAAACTCAAAGTGGGCATGGTATGTACGTACATGCCATGCCCACTTTGAGTTTACTTGTTTAATTGTTTTTACACATAGATGGCTACACTTGTAATAAGTCTATAGTGAGACAATTACGTCTGTTTACACTTTTCCTTGCTTTACGAAAATTATTCTGCTGTTACTAATGTTTTTAACATTATACTAATTATAAATTTTGTAATAAAAATAACACCATCGATATACATAACAAGAGTAAAAAATACGTTTCCCCCTGGTTCAAGGAAAGGTTAAATCAGGTAAGGTCTATTAATTAACTCCTTTGTGGCTAAGCACGAGCAGAGCCATCTATGTGCAGAGACATTTCACAAAAAAAATATAAAAAATGAGCACAGCATCTTCCCAATTTTCTATTAATTCCCCCCGGTGGCATGTGGTTAATAGCCAGGTTTTTCCGTTGCAAGAATCACGTATCATACCTCACTTCCTTGCCTCCTCTCCTCAAAGCAGCCGTGTTATGAGGCGGTTCATTGTGTTCCTCACAGCCGTGAGGAACAAATTCAGGGACAAATATTGTAGGTTTTTTTTTGCATTCCGTTCATTTTATTTTTGTCATGAAATATTGTACAAAATCTATATCTGAATCGCAGTTAGGGTCTATTTCTTTTGAAACTAACGTCATTTAAAATTGTAAAATAATTCAGTATTTGTGATTAGAGGTCATAGGTCATAACTTGAGTCAGCGGGGGTCACAAATGCACATTACAATGTAACGGATTTACGAATACCACTCCGAACGTTATGACTTCGACTTCGATTGTTTGGTATAAACTCTTATTGTTTATTAGCTACTTATTATGAATGAATACGTCAGTCTATCAAAAAGAAAGAAAAAAAGAGTGATCGACTGTCGAAAACATATTTTCCTTTTCCTGGTCATTGTGTCCAAAAACATGGCTTTTGTCAAATTCACTGAATCAGTGTTCTGGGCTAAGGCTTAATTAAGACAGATCTTCGATCAAACGACGCCTTTTCCAAGTGTGATTATTTCTAATAATGTCCCCCATCCATTGGCGATGCATGTCAGCGCTACCATAATTCTTTTCTTCAAAACGATGTTTTTCTTTCCTGTTGACGATCCCTAGCAGTTGCCGCGACAAAAGGCCACGCCCAGATTGCCATATGCCACACCCGATGGGCGTGCGGCGACCCTGCAGG